CTCACTAAAATATTTGATTTCACAGCGTTTTGTTAATGTCTTAAACTAGGCTCTTGTCTCCCTAGGCTGAGCTGAAATAAGTCACCTACAGTCAGAGGTAGGCCTATCATTTTCTTTAGCATCATCAAATAAGGCCTCATTCTGTTCTTCCACTATCAAGTACGTAGTGGAAAACAATCTGCTATGTTACTATTGTTCAATTTATCTTACTTGCTACTGATCCTTTTCTGTCCTCATCTCTACAAGTTAGGCAACATAAAGATTAACAGGGAATTAACAACCCTCTCTCACCTGTCTTGCACATTTTCATGTCCTTATGGCAGCAGCCAGTTCTGCTATTGCCAAAATTGGATTTCCAACTGCAAATACCAATGTGTAGCCACGTGGTACTTCAGATGCTCTAGGTATTCCAAGATGCCTAGGTACCCAATGCTGGCTGCCATTCAACATGCAGTGACACTGTTGCTCACATTTACTAAGCAGCCCCTCATTGTTCCCTTCATCTCAAACTTCTTTCACTCACATACTGCCCTCTGGTACATAGGACTGTTTGTGAGGACAGGTATAAAATCAACTCAAAAAAACTGATGTGGCTGAAAAAGGCTTCTTTATTTGCGAGATCTGGATATAAAAGCAGCTTCAGCTCACACTGCTGCTGGAAAAATAAATAGATAGATAGATAGATGATAGATAGATAGATAGATAGATAGATAGATAGATAGATAGATAGATAGATAGATGGATAAATAGAGGAAGGGAGGAAGGAAGGGAGGAAGGAAGGAGAGGAAGTGGGTAGATTGCAGCTTAAAAGCCTGCACTCAAAGGAATTCACACTGTAAGGCACTGAGCCTGCAAAAGCACACACACTTTTAACTACGCTGCCACAAACTATCCCACTTGCAGGGTCAAATCTGTTACAACACCAGGAATTCTGGAGGTAAGCTTTTGAGGGCCACAGACAATCCACCTTTTGAAATTCTGTATTTCAGTAAAGAAAACTTTAGAAAACTTCCTTGGGTCTGTGCATGCAGAGAAATACATTGATAAAAAAGATGTATGGGTTTTCCCAAAGTGCACCACTTTATGGCCAAGCCTTCTAAACGGCTGCACAAGGACAGCTGAATGATGCCAGTGAGGTAACAAAACTAAGTTACTACTAAGTGTTTAAATCCAACAAGCTCCAGCACATGGTCAGACCATTCAGAAATTACCCACCATCAGGTACATCACAAGAATCCTTTCAGCAACTCAGACAAACCTGATCCCTTGGCTGTTCTCTTAGCAACCTTTCCTTCACCTAATGTTATGTTCAACCCAAAAGAAGCAGTAGGCAAATCTTGAATAGTATACAGAGATTAACAAACACAACTCTCAAGGCCTAGTAGCATTTCCCTCCTGTTATTTCATAATTGTCCATGGTTTAGAAATCACTTTTCAGAGAGTACTCTTTACTGCTACTGACACCTACCTGAGCTGAACATGACAAAGAACAATTCACTTTCCTTTTTAATAATGCTTGATTTTGCAAAAGCAACTCCTGTTTCTAGAGGACTTCACACGTAGCAATCGCTATTCCAAAAACATATCTTACTGGTATAATTCTTTTTACTTCAGAAAAGTTTAAAAATACAAGTAAAGGTCATATGCTAATTTGATATTTCAAAATTGTACTCCAAACCTGAAGCTTCATAAAAGAAAGTTTGATTATGACAACTGATGTATTCAACATCAACATTACTTACTATCCTTTTATGAACTGAGCTTTTTGCAATAAGACATAAGTGTAAAAGGCCTTGAGTAGAACACCTTGCCAAAGAACCTTTTCTATTATTGCCCTGCTAAAATAACAACAGATATACCAAATAAAGTACTTCCATGTATACTCTTGAGCAGTTACAGTTCTCATTTCACCAAACTGTCATAACAGAGAGAACTTAGACAGAAAGATATTTTTTTTTCTATTCTATGTCATAAGTCAAACGCATAACACGTCACCTATTTTTCCTTGGAATGTGTGAAATTTAATGTACCAGGGTAGAATAGGCTTTATATATATTTTATTCTATTTTTAGAAGGTAGGAAACCTGTGATTTCATAGAAGTATTGAAGATGTGCATAATACCCAGGCCGCAACTTAGCAAATTCACTTCAGCACCTCATCACTACCTTGTATTCCTTTGTCCTTCTCTCTTGCTCTTTCATCATTTTTAACAAGTCTGTATCCCCTTTACAGAAGCAGGTTTCCTTTTTTATACAACTCTTGACACAAGAGAGGACAGATTTCAACTATGAAAGTAATATAAAGCCATTAATATGGATAACATCATTCTTTTATAAAAGAAATTTGATTTGGTCTTAAATTGTCCTTTTATATTAGCAGACTTCACTCTTCACTGATTCATCAGCGTGCTTTGTATTGTGCCTCAAAGGAACCATACCACCGACACTGAAAGATCTGATGTTTGGCTGAGGACAGCTACATTTTTTTTAAAACATCTAGAAACAAAGACTATTTCAGTTATGAATTAAGCACAACAGATCAATAATTATGTTTAAAAGATGACCTCAAAATTATTAGCTGCTAATACTATGAGATTTCTGAGCTGGCAACAAACCAACAAGATGTACTAAACTCTTAGAAGATTGCAAAGAAGATAGCAAAAGGGCCAGAAGTCTGCAACTTGTAAAGGGATACCACAAGAAAGACAGATTAAATAGGTCATCCATTCTTAACAGGCTTGAAGAAGGTCATTCCTTTAGAAGAGTTCTGCTGTTTGGCTCACAGGGGAAGAAAGGTAGCTTACTCATCTCCAAGACTGTTCAGCCAGTGTCTTTTATTTGCAATTAAAAGGTAGTCTGGAGCCATTCATAGTAGTGGTTGTAGAACAGACACTACTGCAATTTCTTGTGTGGCTTTACAGAGTACAGTGGAAAAACAAAACATACAAACAAGATTTGTTCTGTATTTAAGGGTCATGCACTCATTTGATTCTTGATGAGACAAACCCTATGGTAAGGGAGGGGAATTCTTCCCACCTGGAGTTTCTGAGTTCCCAGGTAATGTCCTGTAAAATGGAAAACAAGTAAGGAACCTTCTTACCCCCTATAGTTTTAAAGTAAGGTGCTTATATACTGGCAGTTTAAAATCGAAAAAGAAAATCATGCAGCAAGGAGTGCTCTTCCAGGCATCTACCTTCACTGACACACTGTTTACTTAAACATAAGTAAACACAGAATCATAGAATCATAGAATCACAAGGTTGAAAACGACTTATAAGATCATCTAGTCCAACCATCTCCTCATCACCATTGCCACCACAAGCACTAAACCACATCACGCAGCACGTCGTACAGATGCCACTTGAACACTGCCAGGGATGGCGACTCCACCACCTCCCTGGGCAGCCATTCCAGTGCCTGACCACTCTCTGAGAGAAAAAGTTCTTCCTTATTTATAATCTAAACCTCCTTTGATACAACTTGCGGCCATTTCCCCATGTCCTGCTCCTTGCCTGGGAGAAGAGGCGAATATATGTTTAAGTTAGTTACACACACACACACACACACACACACACACACACACACATAAATATATACACAAACAAATATATGTGTGTGCTCCTTGTTTTGTCAATTCTATTGATACAATAGTTTAAAAAGAAAACAAAAAAAGCAGTGGTAATACAGCAATTGGGCCTGCTAATAAGACACCGACAAGTTTTTATTTTAACTTTTATTATAAAATTAAAAAAAAAAAAAAATCAACTGACATTTGAAGTTTAAATTTAAAACCGTAACAGCAAAGATTACAAAAAGTGTAATAAAAATACAAAAAGAAGGGTGTAGTGCATTTTGCTCCCCATTATAAACAGAACACAGGAGTTTGCTGTCAGGAAAAGCAGATTGTCCAGCTGCTCTGCCTGTACAGCCACAAATGAGGAAAGAGACTTAATGAAGCTCTACTTTTTAATTTTTCCTTTTCAAAGCAAGTTGATGTGCAGCAAAGGACACAAAAATATACTACTACTAAGGAAATATGATCTTTAGTTAAGCTGAAAAATGTAATGCACTTTTTACTCTTTCAAGAATGTAAGAAAAGAAAATTTATAACATACTTAAATTTTGTTAAAATTTCAGTTAAGTCATTTCAGTTAGTTTAGTTAAATCTAACAGCTTAGTATCTAGAAATTGTGAGATGGTTGAGACTTTATCATTTACAGCGTATTCAGAGAATTAACACTATCCACAGAAAGATGTAATTGTTGAATGTTTTAGAAGAATGTGCCCATTTACAACTCATAGACTTACAAGGTAGGCAGGCAGATGCAAATATGCAGGAGAAAATACTGTCTTCATAATTATTTCAGTTTCAAATCCACTGTTTTGCAAAGACCAATCGTCTTTCAGGAAATATTTGTAATGCGAACCTATTAGTTTGCTTGCCTGTCTTTAAAAATAATACATGATCACTGTAAAAATAACTCATTACAAGTGTTATGGAGTACTTATGATGCTTACATTTATGATAGTTTTAATGAGAATATCTTTCTTTTCCTGAAGTTTTTTTTTTTTTAAAAAAAGGAAAAAAAAAAAAGAAACAGGGATGTACTTGCCCGCTAACATGAGTCTTCAACTATTCCAAGATCTTCAAAGAAGAGGAGCAGCTTGTATAGATACAGATGCTATCAAACAGATATTCTGTCACTGCAAGAATTGCAACTGAAGTGCAGTTGGTTTCATTTCTGAGTGCACCAACCAGAAGAAAAGCAAGCTCCAGAGCTTGCTAAGAAGGATGAATTTCAGAATTAAGCTACAAGAACAAAGTTAGTTTTCATTCTGCAGAAGAGTGAAATAATCAATGTGCTGAAACTTCAGAACCTCATTTCCCCAGCTGGTCCAGCCAGGCTGCAGGTTGCGAGCAAACAGCTCCAAGCACTCCACATCTGGCTTGACAAACTCTGCCAGAACCGCTGTGCAAGATAAGAAAAACAAAAACAAAAAAAGATGAGGATAACAATGACAAAGGTACAAACAACAACAGTAATAATAAACATAAAAATAAATAAAATCTCCCCAGTGCTGTTAGCAAATGAGAGATGGAATGTTTCATTGAAAAAACAAAAGAGACAGTAAATTAATTCTAAGAGTTTAATCAAACAACTGGACCATTTGTATTGAGAAAGTCATTTAAAATGAGTGCCCTTGAGATCCTAAACAATACTGTCAAGGCCTTTAACGGCCTTGATTTATTAGTTTTCATTTAGAGGAAGAGAATGAGGATTTATTCCATCATCTACATGGGAAAGTTCTAAATTTTTTGGAAATATCCACAAAACACTTCCTAAAGGCTCAACTGGCTCCTGCATCACAAGGGCAACATTTCCATAAATAAACAGACAGACACCTTCCTTGATTAAGATCATGCTCTTTTGCTCTGCATCTTAAAGGGGATAAAACCAATTTTTGAGGAAAATTGTTGTAAAAGAAACACCAGTTTAAATAAGCAGACATTAGAAGGGCTATAAAAATGGAGGGACTTCTTTTTCTCCCCAAATAGCAATTTATCAACAAAAGAAACCTGTATATAACTGCCTTCTTTCATTCAGTAATATAAATCTCAAATTCATTGTGTTTATTTGCTGCCTGTATCTAAACAGATGCCTGTCGCTAACATCAGCTGTGTCAATGATTATGATTATTCTCCAAGTGGCAGAAAAAGAGATTGGTTATAGCATTTCACTTGAGAAATTCTATTGCGAACACTTAATTACTAAATGTGTCACTTGTTATACAGAGCCATTTAGTTTGTGGATAGGTCAAAGAAATTCTTAACTAGGTTTCAGGAAATAGCCACAAAATAGTACATGCAAAAATGTCCAAAGGAAAAGCAAAGGCTAAAGGAATGCAAAGGATACAAAGGAGGCAAAAAGACTGAAAAAAAAGATTTATAATAAAACTACATCTTAAGTTGCATTTTTGTGACTGAGGATGAAAGAACAAAAGCTAATAAAATATTTCTTTATCCAAAGTATATCTCGCTCGCTCCTGTTCCTTCTTGAAGTTTCTGAATTTCCGTAGCTTAAAAGTACAGTTCATAAACTCTGTATTGTTTGATTTGATCTCTTCAGACATGATTCATATCAGAAAGCAGAAATGTATCCAAGTAGCATACATCAAAGCATGAGAGAGAATGCTTTTTTGGGTTCAAACCAAGTTCTGACTTTTTGTATCAAGTCTGCCAGTCACAGACTCCCTGTGTGAATCCTCGGATGCTCTTGTCATGGATTGGTCCTGCTGCAGAAAGATAAATATCCACCTCACATTCTAATCAGCGTTCATGAATCCCAAATGCATTCTCTACCTATACAATCCAAAGCTTCAATCTATTCAAAACCTAAATATTTTGTAATGGGCATCTTCCAACATTCTTATATTTTGGTACAGCCTATAAATTTGTTTTCGTTCTTCCAATCTTTAACAAATGTGAAAAGAGTATTTCATATAGATTATCATCAAAGTAACTTTCAATCTAAAAAAAGACAGCTACCAGCAGGAATCCTAATCTAAAAGCCTATTCCTTTTACAGGGAAGCTAAAATCCTTACACAAATTAACTTCTGCGGAGAAGAGTCTGAAAACATGTACATTCTGATAGAAAACTTCTTGCTCTGAATACTGCTGTTTAGTGTCACACCACTTCAGAGAAGCTGCTTTTGTATCATTTTGCAAAATTTTCTTTTAATTATGTGGTAAAACGTATTATTCTTTTTCCATGCTCTATTTCATTAAGGATTTCTTATGCACAATCTGCTGCCAACATTTTAACAAAGGTCTTCCAAAAATCTATTCTTCTCATCATCTAAGAAAGCCCATGGTGCAGGAGGATGTACTTTTTCCATGGAAGAGAAGGGAGAGACTGTGGAATGCAAATCCAAAGCTTTTGGTGAACTCTCTGGGAGCAAATCTAACAGCTGTAGGATATTATTATTTTGACCCAAACGTGCATAAGATCCTGCAGAGCTTACTGCAGAGTCCAGGCATTATATGATTATTTTTTTGTTCTTCAGATAAAAATAAAATAGAACTGCTTTATGCTAAGCAGAGGAAAGAATGATCTAGGTGACAAAACTTCACTAATAGCACATAACAAGTTTTGAAATTTGTTCTTAAAAGGCATAGACTACAAATGTCACCACAGCACTTAGTCCAGTAAGTCAGGAGCAGGTACCACTAAACACCAAAAACTTCCATGCCTGAGAGAAAAATTTGAAAAGCATACTTAGTTGATTCAGCTAAGACTCACAGCAGACTGGTTTGCCAGAAGCAAAAAAAAAAAAAAAAAAAAAAGGGAGCCAAAAAAAGGCCAGTTCCAAAGGAACCAGAAGACTGTGCCAATCTTTTGAACAAGTTGGTCATAGAATTTAAACTGGAAGTCCCAAGAATCTTCCTCACTCACATTCCCCGAGAGAAGGTCTTTCTGTACAAAGTGTTTTTGAAAAAACAGATTACAGAGACAGATTACATATAATACAAGATTACATTATAGTATGATTCTTCATTGCTTGGATGCGGCATTTACATAATCACATCAAGCAGTAGTCTTCACTGCAAGGGAAATTAGCATATCAAGAGGGCAATAATATGGCTGTATTTTGCTCTTATTACACTGGTTCCCTTGAGCACCAAGTTTTCACATCTTCTGGTATGAATTATAACCTCTTTGTTAGCCTTTTACGGCCTTTATACCACCAAAAGACTAACTCAGCACATATGGATCTAACTTCCATCCCTTCAGCAAACTCAAGTTCTTCCTGAAAACAGATTAGAGGATCTACATCAGTAGAAAAACTAAATGTCCATTTTTCTGCAGTAGGGACAGATATTTTTTAATTTTTAACAATTACTTCTCTGTGCTTATAGCTGACAAAAAGCAGCTTAAATAGACAATAAATAGATTATTCTTCATTATCTGCAGATGTCAAACACTGCAGGTGCAACTCAGGTATCTATACGTGGCCATCTAATGCCCACAAAGCTAGCACAAAGCCAGCTTGTAGGTATAACACTGGTTTTACTCTTGATGGCACACATTATCCAAGATGCATGCTGTAAAATCATTTACATGAGAAAAAGAAGGAACCATTTTTGAAACAAGCAACAGCTTCCCCTTCTCTTTTCAACTTCCATTACCTAAACAATAAATTCTGCACAGCAAATTGGATAAATAAGGTGAAAATGATTTTACTGGCTTTTTACTGTCTGATTTGTGAGCCATACACAGCACAGCCCACACATAATTGAACTCATTTCATCGTAAGCCTTCAAAATTTTGCAAAGCAGAGGCCCTTATTGCCTGATTTGTCTAGAAAAAGACCAGAAAAAAGGATGAGAAACTCAAGGCAAAGATGGCTTAATATCTCTGTATCTTTCCTAAACTGTCTGTTTAAGCTAGATTTTGATGTACCCATTGATTAGTCTACCAGAAGAGGGTAGAAGTAAATGCTGTCTGTTTCTATTTCCACTTTCCTAATAGCCTCACAAGTCACAGAGTTGCTACAGAAGAAGTAAGTTTCCAAGATTTTCCTCTGCGTGCTTCTGCTGAAGATCTGCAAAGCAGCTAGAACACAGCCAATAATTAATGCTAATGTTTTTAGGCATACTCCTATTTGGCAATAAAGTTTTTTAACAATAAATGTACATGCTACATACTAGAGGAGAAATGCCTATAACAAGAAGAATCTCTAAAACAGAAAAAGGAAAAAAAGTCCAACCTTCTTTTATATCATCTCTATGCAAAGTATCATTTAAGTCTTAAAGAGCAGTAGCGAATAGAATTAGAAAGAAAACCTGCTGTTATTTGAATCAAAACCAAGAGTGATAAAATTTCATTTTAACACATTTGCATAAAGCAGTTTAAGTACACTTACAATTATATATGAAAGCTCTAAGAACTGAACACAGCACATGCATCACCCAAAACCCCTACAGTCACAATTTCATAGTTAAATGCACTGCAGGAACCCAAACATCTCTTTTTTGATGGCTTACTTTAATTTACATCTTCCTCTTCCCCCAGAGAGAGAAACTGTTATAATAAGTCAATAAGTGGCTACATATGTAGGAACGTACAGCCTTTACAGTAGTAACTAGAAATAAAGTGCCAGACAGCATCAGTAAATAATAATATTTTTGGCTTTGTTACTTCTTAAACAAAGCATAAAGAACGCGTGTGACTCATCAAGTGTCCTTCTCCCCCATTGCCAAATCTCTGCTTCTGCTTAAATTGTTTCTAAACTATTTTAGCATGTAGCTCAACTGCTCTCTACTGGCCACTTGAGAATACTGCCTGATCATGAAAGCAATATCCTTTAAGAATATTGAAGACAAATCAACAGCCACTAGTCTACCTTTTCATTCCATAAGCCTGTTCTGAATGAAGCTGCCAACACTGTACATACACACGTAGTTTTATAGGAACTGTATAAACCACTGATTTTGGTTGATAGCAAATTTATTCCTCAAATAGAAACATGAATACAGCACAATGGTATCAAAATCAATCATGTAAAGATTCAAGAAATACATAGAAATTGGTACAGACAATTTCTTTCAAAACCCATTCAGGATCATCAATTATAAAGACTTAATACAGTTTCTAGATTCTGCACCACAGAAAAGAAAAGCTCTGAGGACCATCTGATGCTAGAATTCTCTACAGTGTGTACACAAACTGCTGCTTTTCAGCCCTGGATATATCAGACGTTTTCTGATCATGTCTGAGCGTGTTGCTGAAGTATTGGTTTTCTGAAAAGGTTTTCCCTAGGTGGCTGCCTCACAAATCACTGCTCTACCACCCATTAGCTTAAATCAACATACATACTTCCTGCTGTAGTCATCATTTTTAAGGATGTAGCTTCAGAATTGCAAACAGATGCTTCCTAGAATTGCTCTTTTCAAGTAAAGCTAACCCAAATTACGTCAACTACTAATTTTTTAACATATATATATGTGTATATATATATATATATATATATATGCATGTTTTGATTTAATAACAAATACAATCCCCAAACATAAATTTCAAAGCCTTCCTTTCATTCCTCATTCAGATGAGCTTCCTAACTGAAGTAATTCTGTTCCTTGGGAACCAAGAAAAGAAAGCACGTCAGCACAATGGAGGGAACAGGCCAGTGATGCCTTTCCAATAGCAGCATGCATTTCTTCTGCCTGAGTTTTCTGATGTGATTACACTGAACCACGTTTACCAGTAATATCTATAGGTACATCGTGAGTTTTCCCCTCGGGAAGGATGAAACTATTTTTGCAAGAGGAAGCAAATAAGTTTCTTGCCATATAATAGTAAGGCACTCAAGTTCTATAATAATGAAAGAATCTATTGACAAAAGGAAGTTTTTCTCTGGAATAATGTGCAAAATCTGCACATGATGCAGAAATCTTCTAATCTTTTGAACTAAATCTTGAAAAGTTTAAATGATTCATCCAAATGCTAACTGGCTAGCTGGGAGCTACTGCATCAATTTCAGCAAATTAATGCAGCCCCCTGGAAATAAACAGGGTATGCCTTCTTTGTTGCCTACTGTTAACAGTTTTTAAATGATTCACGTTACAGATTTAAAGGCAGAACTGCACTGCAGGTATATAAGCATCTAATGCAGAAATAGAAACATTTTCTCTTTCTGTTTTTATTAGGTAAGTAGAAGATATTTCATCTTGTATGTTCCAGAAGTTCACAGCCACCACCACAGGAGCTTTACATTCTTTGGGATAACTTAATAAATACATCATTTATAATTTGTTCCTGCAGGATTTCAAAAGCAAGTGTAGAAGAAATGTAGTTCAATTTCTTCATTTTTACTCAGAATATTCACACAATTATCCACAAAGTTCTACTTTTTACAGTGATTTTCTTTTTCAGACCTTAGGTGCCTAAAAGCATTTTTAGAAATGTTGAGGAATCACAGGTCCTGGTGGGCACAATTGCTTAGCATATGAGAAATTAAGATGCATCATTTATAAAGATATCTCATTTTGGCTCAGATGCTTAATATCATCTTAGATGCCCAAATCAAACACCCCACAGAAACACAACAAATCAACAAAAACATACCAGTGAGGGGGGGCTTATGTGAATGTAGACTGCAGGGTATGCTGACAATTAACTTATGTTCTGGAACTGGAAGAACATCTTCAGATTTCCTGCTGTACAAACCAGAACAAGAAACAAAGTATGAGAATGAATAGCATCAGAATGATACATACACAATTCTCTGATAATTGAGATAGGAGGTAAGAGTGTTTATTCACAGTCAAACTTCACAAAAGCCTAAGGGAAACTGAATGTTGCTCCCTGATGATGTGTAAAAGAGGGGTTCCAAAACAATTAAGAATTGAGACAAAACACAATTAACAATGGCCACACAAAGCCATCAAGAACAAACAACATAGTTGTTGTTTCCATCAGCAGCCAAAAATGGCTTCAGCTTATTCTAAAGACTTGGGATCAAACAGAACCTACCAGCAAAGGAAGCCCACACCTTTTACTTGAGCCAGTTCTCCAACACAGACAGACATAAGGAACAGACAAAAAGATTCTGCCCTTTCATCTTACTAAAGCACTCCCTCTTCCTAAAGCAAGTGAGGCCATTTTTAGGTTCAAAATCAGACAAAGATGATGCTAAAAGGAGATCTGGGAACACTATATTGTATTATGGACAGATGACACACCAGTAAGTAGAATCCTAGCAGCCTCAAATAAAAATTACCATAGCCTGGCATACCTTAGGGCTTCCTTTATGTTTCCTTGAACTCTCCCCAGTATAAGAACTTCATAGGGCTTTTTGTGGAAAGAATCCAAAGGCAATACAAATTCTCCGTATCTAGTAATCTGACACAGAGGAGTTAGAAATACACAGTGGAAGATTTTCAAATCCAATTTTCCCACCATCTGATAAAAAGGAAGATATTGACAACACCATACCTTTCAAATACAAAAGCACATCAAAATAGATAGACAATTTATAGAACTATAAAGTGCCACATTGAAAGACCCCTCAGTTGCCAAGAAAGCAATAATACAAAGAACTTACTTTTACCCAGTGCCACTCAGCAAGTGTTTTCACAGACCAATGTGGATAAAGTTCATCCTTAACAAAACGTAAGTGCTTCTGTCTGTTAGTCACCCATGTGACAACAAGACAATCTGGAGCAGCTAGCGCTGATACAGGAATCTGCTTGATTTGCCACGAAGACAAGTAGCTGTATCTGTATACCAATACAGTGAGAAAGCAAGTTAGCATACACCACATAATAAAATTGCAAAGCAACAAAAACAAGGAAATTACACAGCCAAAACGTTTAAAGAAATACCTTCTGTCAGCATAGAAAGTCATAAAAAAATAGGCCCAGAGTGACACCCAGTGGACAGATCCACTGAATCTGTGATTCTGTGATCTGTGATTCTGATATGAAATCATTACTCTGTTTACTTAAGTTTTACTGAGCAGAACCTTTAACTACGTATCTTCTTTAGCCATCCACAAGATAATGAACTCAGCAACTAACAACAGCATTGAAGCTGCCTTCTGGTTTTATTTTGCAAGGGAGAGAGGGTATAGTTGGCTAATTCATGTCTGTGAATTTCATGTCTAAAATTTTCCTAGGAGTAACTTATATTGGTAAGAAAAAAAAAAACCAATGTATTTGAATGAGTTTAACTGACTCCCTAGAGGTTTCTGTAGGGCTTTTAAAGTAATATATATACTAACCAATCTCTATCTACAAATTAGATCTTCATAAGAAGCTTAAGAAGTTATAGTAGATATTATTCTAGAAAGTTACAAGGCTCTATTTTCTTTTCAGCCTCCTTTCACATGGATGCAATTCTGTGGTAAACAAGGGAGCTCCACTGGCAGAAACTTAATGTTACTCAGAGGAGAAAGAGGCCCATAAAACTCTAAGTTAATGACTTCATAAAGTACAGTACTCACGAAGTTCCTACTGCACTTGAGGATTTTACTGCTGCATTATCACTTTATTCTATTCATCAGAATAAAGCTCAAAAAAAAACCAAAAACCCTAAAACTTCTTAATTGGACCTCAGCCTTACAAATTTTTTATCTATCTTTATGTAGTATTAATAATAACTATTAATTTCAAATAAGCATCTGTCTGATCTGGGCCATACAAAACAGTTAGCTTCAAGCCTTCCTGAGAAGTACAGAAAAATAGCATTCTTTCATTAATGAGGTAATTTCATAGAATCATAGAATGACCTGGGTTGAAAAGGACCACAATGATCATCCAGTTTCAACCCCCTGCTATGTGCAGGGTCACCAACCTCCAGACCAGACTGCCCAGAGCCACATCCAGCCTGGCCTTGAATGCCTCCAGGGATGAGGCATCCACAACCTCCTTGGGCAACCTGTTCCAGTGCATCACCACCCTCTGTGTGAAAAAATTCCTCCCAGTATCTAACTTAAATCTCCCTTGTCTCAATTCAAAACCATCCCCCTTTGTCCTATCACTATCCATCCTTGTAAACAGTCGTTCTCCCTCCTGTTTATATCCCCTTTCAAATATTGGAAGGCCACAATGAGGTCTCCCCAGAGCCTTCTCTTCTCCAAATTTAATTTAAGATATAGCCTTGCAAATATTTTGTATTGAAAGTTTCCAAGTCATTTCACTGAAATTCCTGAGACAGTTTTAGAGTTGAACTTTCAGACTTTGGCATGCATCAAAGTATTTGCTAGCTTAAGCTACAACTATGGTTACATGAGTCTTGAATTGCAACAGTAAATTAAAATGTAAATTACCCATTGTAAACAGAGATGACAAGGTAATTTCACAATAAAGTTTACCTGTTACTCCTTTTAACAGATTTGTTCTCCCATGGTGGATCGATCACAATTACATCATACTTTTTCTTGTCTGGGAAAAAAATTACACAAAACTAATTTAGTAAAGAAACCAGTAAATTCATTAATTTAAAAGTTTAAAGTTAAAATTAAAAGTACTAGTTAAAATTGATAAAGGTTTAGCTACCTAAATACAGACAATATTTGAAAAGCTAACGAGGTAGCAAAACTGCAAGTGTTCTTTTTTTCTTTTTTTCCCCAAATAATGAAACAAAAGTTTAAACACTTGAGATAATCATATACTTCTCAGATTCCTAGGCTGATTACCCAAGAAAAGGATGTTTCTGTGACTTGTGCTGGATTCAATACCTCCAAGAAATGTCAAACCTCTTGGGGAATTTAAAACAAAAACCTCATACAGTGCCAGTCTCCAAGACATTAAAATTTCTCCAAGCTTCCTGAAAGAAGCCATGTAATAAGGCACCCAGCTGAGAGAACGGCTGCACCCTTGAATCCTTGAAGTTTTCCGTCCTGTGTGATCTTTCAGCAGGCCAACTTGTACATGCAGAGCTATGAACCAGTCCTGGAAAACTGTTTTACACTACTAGATGTTAACAGACAGAGCCAGACCCAGAGTAAGAAATAGAAATTAGTGGGCAATAGGAAGGGAACTGAGGCAGTTTTCCTAACAGAAGTTGGGTTTACGTTAATGGGAGAAGATACAGAACACATCTATGAAAAAGAAGGACTCTCTAACGTTATTTTTCCCAGGCAACATACTCCTTCCTTTATTGAGCCTGATACTAATTGTTTAAATAGCTAGTGAGAACAACAATTTAACATTTAATGTCCTTTACATCTTATTCCTTTATTAACATTGGAGGCGTTGTCCTCACAATGGACTGACCCTAGCCAGCAAGAAATACTTCTCATTTAGCAGCCGGATCGCCTCTCCTATGAAGAAAGGCCGAGGGAGCTGGGGTTATTTAGCATGGAGGAGAGAAGGCTTTGCAGCCTACCAGTACCTAAAGGTGGCCTAAAAGAAAGCTGAAGATGGAGGTTAGATGAAGATTAGAGAGTGTAGTGGTAAGACACAGAAAAAATGGCTTTAAACTAAACAGGGGTGATTTAGAATACATATTAGGAAGAAACTCTTTACCCAGAGGGTGGTGAGGCACTGAACAGGCTGACAGAGAAGCTCTGGGTGCCCCATCCCTGGAAGCCAGGTTACATGGGGCCCTGGGCCCAGCTGAGCTGCTGGGTGGCAATCCTGCTCATAGTAGGGGGTTGGAAATGGATGGTCTCTAGTGTCTCCTCCAACCCAAACCATATATATATATTATAGTTTATTATATATTATATTTTATAGTTTATTTCCAATTCAATGCATTTACTTGACTTCTAGATCCACTGTGGCTCAGAATATGCTTAACAACTGCTGCATTCTGTGTTTCATGTAAAAATGCAATGGCTGAGATTTTTATTGGAGCCTCTTGGAGCCTCCCCATGACATGCATTCCTAACTCCACTGAGGATTCCTTTGAAAACCTTCACCTGTCTGCACAAAGTTACAAATGCCACTTTGAAAGCTTGCAGTAGCATTATCAGCATGATGCTCTATGTTAGAAAACAGTTCACTGAGTCCTTAGTTATTTTGACATTAACCAGCCTTCTAAGGCAGGAAAGAAGGGATAGATTCTTAAGATAGGGGATAGTCTATCCCTATTCTAAAGAAGGAATAGACTAAAGATACTTACAGTTCAGCAGGGGTTGTAAACATGAAATATCAGATAAAAGGAAACTGCTCTTCGGTGGCACCAAGTACTTCTGTCCCATTAATACAACTATCTTTGCACAGTTTGAGTTGTTCTCTGTAACACATGAAAGCAGGTCATGCTCTGGAGTGGTGGTTTCATCATCTAGCACATTCACAGCTTGATGATCACCATCATTTACAGCTGGAAATTGCTTTGCCATTTCACATAATTCAGCCAACCCACAGTCAACGGGTCTAGGAACAACATTCTTCCCACAACTGGGTGCTGCAGCAGCACGATGAAGAAAACCACTTTTGAGTCCCTCTTGGACTAAATGCAAAGTGCCTTCCCAAATGAATTTTCTGATCTGTATGATCATAAAGAGGAGAAGAAAAACAAAACAAGACAAAAAGAGAGAGAAATGATCTTTTGAGTATACACATAGTAACATCAGGAAATGAAACAGCAATCAAAACATCTTCAATCTGCAGTGGGAGAAGAATCCTTGCCAAACACCAAAACCATCACCTGAAGAGCTAGCTATTGGTGCATAATACTGAGGGCATGCTAACGTATGGTGGGGTTTTTTTTGTTTGTTTTCTTTTGGCAAAGTGGCAATAGTCAGAAGTCTAGAGAAAGGCAGACTGCTGAATGAAAGTTTTCACAGATGATAGTGGCAGAATATTACTGATCTAAACAAACAAATTTCAAGGCAATGTCAACACTTAACTTGAAGTTTAACTTAGTCCACAAGTATAACTTTGATTGAGTATATACCCAGATCTAAAACCAGTATGTTTTAATTTGCTTTCAAAGTCAATATCACGTATGCATGTAAACCAAATTACATTACTAAAAACTGGTTCTGCAGTTTTTTAAAATAACACGTTTTTCAAATAACAATGCCAAGATTCTTGGATCTGTACGCACACTCACTTCTTCAGCAATATTCCCTATACAGAACACAGAGACCTATCTAATTCTCAAATTGTTGAGCATTTATGAGGTTTATCTACCGGTGAATTTTTGCTCATTTAGAACAGCTTTATTGCCAGATTCTGTAGTTTCTAACACAGGTTTCAAATACTTATTATTGTTTCTAAAGCTCCTGAAAAAGGAATGCTCAACAAGATGTCTGTTTGTTGGTTGTTTTTAAACACTCTCTTACAAAATACCAAAAAAGCCTGAATGTGTTCTTTTCTGTAGTAGTACAATCCTTGAGATATCTGAAGGAATAGTGTATTAACTTAAATATTTTCACTCATAAACCCGTGTTTGATGTTGAACTTCAAAGTTCTCTCATTTAAGTCATTGCTCCACATCCATAGCTTATTCAGAACAATACCTATGGGACCCCTACACTGCAACATAACAGACTGCACATTTACTACAAAATCATTATTGTGTAAAGGAAGAAAAAATATTTCTTTAAGCATAGTCTTAACAGGAATAGTGGAGCAAGCTACAAGAAGAGAACTTATTTACAGCTGTGTTTTTGTTCTCCATACATAGTTCAAAATTAAACATCATGTACTTGCAAAATTATCTTCTATTCAAACTTACCTTGGTATGGTATTCTAAAGCATCCAGTTCACCTTTGTTGAACACACATTTTCTTTTACGCTTCTATAGAAGGAGCAAACAGGGTAAGAACAAAAAAAAAAAGGGAAACGTTACTCCATAATAAAAACAAAAAAATAAATACTCAAACATACCTAAATTACAAATAAACTCTTTTAAAACTGGAAGAAACTTCCTATCTATTCCTTTCTATTACAAGTATAAAGCCAGTAAGCAAAAATACGATCACAAAATACTTAGGCTGCTGGAGATGGTGTGACAAAGCTATGTTATATTATTATTCATAGCACAGGGATCTAACATTACCTAGCACGTGCCTCTGTTCACATTCAGGTCTCCTTTAGGTCTATACTAGAAGGTGTTTGTTCAGCCGCCAAGTGCAGTAGCAGGAGAAAAACAAGTATGTCTTCAAAGGTTAGATTTGTTAGTTTAGACCTGTTACATTTTCCAGTTGTTTGTTGTTTTAGGACTGTAACAAACAGTACTGTATGGTCTATATATTGAAAGTAAATTCAAACTGTTCTTTCCATGTTAATCTGGACAACCACGACAGCTATCACAGTTTAACTCAAGCCCAACGCCACCAGAGATTTCACAAGAAACCAATTGTTTTTGAGTCATAGGATGCAAGTTGCTGACAGAAGAAACTCCAGAATAACATTATGAGTGCTTACATTTTCCATGCATTCTGAAATCTCTTGTGGAAAACCTGCTCTCCTATGTGACTTCAGAAAGCAGAAATAGTGTTAATGGCAGGTTATTTACCTAAGGATGACCATAGGCTACTACACTGTGGAGAACATACCTTCTTAGCACCAGCAACAGAATCCTTGACACCACACTTGGTTCCTTCTTGGTGTTCTTCTGCTCTGCTGCTGGCCTTCATTTCTGTGAAACTCAACTCAAGGCTTCCTTGCAACAGCTGTTCCTCAGGAGCTGCAGCTATATGGGCCTTAGAAATGTGAAAGAACTCTTCACGAAATACATATCTTGTTCTTGCTGTTTTACCTTCTGTTTCTACAGCATCACTGGGACCATTACTTGAAGAGGTGGTAGCAAATGTAGAAGTAGGATGATCGTTAGTAGAACTGACAGAAGTACTGGTAGTGACATCACCAGTGTATGCAAAGGAATCACAGATCTCATAGCCACACTGGTTGATGAAAGACAGATGGTCCAGGAGCCATCCTGCTGTCAGCCGATGTACCACAGACATCACAGATCCCCTCTTCAGAGAGAAAAATCAACTCCCAGAAACTATAGCAGGTAATAACGTAGGCTTCCTGAAGCAAATTACCCCTGTGGGAGTAACATACTTATTTAAGAATTACTTCTCACCACTGTTTCATAAAGTAACACCGTTCTGTGACAGACATTTCCCTGTGCCCATGGATACACCACAGAAAATTCTTGGCTTACACTGGTTTCACTATTAGGACCACTGAAACTTAACTCAGTTTTTTATGGTAGGCTTGTTGGGTTTTTTTGTTTGTTTGCTCATTTATTTTTTTAAAATAGCTTTCTATATAACATCATGTTGCACAGAATTATTTATTCTAAGAACTGTCTTTTTAAAAGTTAGCAATTATATACTGTAACACTCCATAACTCAGGATTCAGTAGCAAAAACATAAGTAGTCTTCATGCACTTCTGAAGAAAGCCATCACATTATCATGTATTTCTCGATCACATCCTAGTTTGTCACAGAAAATAAGTTGAGCAATCTGGCCTTCTGTGAAGTAAACTGAGACGTGGCAATCCCAGATATGCACTGGGGCAATCCCAGGTATGTGTACAGACTGGGAGAAGAATTCATTGAGAGCAGCCCTGCAGAGGAGGACTTGAAAGCCCTGGTGGATAAAAAGCAGGATGTGAGCCAGCAGCATGCTCTTGCAGTCCAGAAGGCCAACTGTGTCCTGGGCTGCATCAAAAGAGGGGTGGCAAGCAGGGAGAGGGAAGGGATTGTCCTCCTCTACTCTGCCCCTGCTCTGCCTGGAGTACTGTGTCAAAGTCCAGGCCCCCAGCACAAGAAGGATGTTGAGCTGTTGGAGCAGGTCAGAGGAGGACCACAAAGATCATCAAGGGACTGGAGCAGCTCTCTTATGTAGAAAGGTTGAGGAAATTGGGCTTATTCAGCTTGGAGAAGTCTCCAAGGGAGACCTCATTGCAGCCTTACAGTACTTGAAGGCAGGTTATAAACAGGAGAGCAATGGACTTTTTACACTATCTGCTAGTGATAGGGCAAGGGGGAATGTTTTAAACTAAAGGAGAGGAGATTTAGGTTAGATGTTAGGAGGAATTCTTCATTCAGAGGGCAGTGATGCATCAGACTGGAGCAGGCTGTGCAGAGAAGCTATGGTGCCCCATCCCTGGAGGTGCTCAAGGCCAGGGTGGGCTTTAAGATTTCTTCCAACTCAAGCCATTCTATTTCAGAGCCTTGTAGTCTTCCAGCCACGTAAGATGATAGAATATCTTGAGTTGGAAAACACCCACAAGGATCATTGAGTCCAATGCCCAGCTCCATATAGGACCACACAAGAATTCAAAACTTGTGTGTGAAAGCACTGTCCGAACACTTCTTGAATTTCAGAAACTCGGGGCCATGCCCACCGCCCCGTGGTGCAGCATCTGTCCTTAACCCCCAGCTGCCCTCTTCTGACGCAGTTCCACGCCGTTCCCTCGGGCCCTGTCGCTGTCACACAGAGCAGCGCTCGGCGCTGCCCCTCTGCTCCCTGTGAGGAGCTGCAGTCGCCATCAGGCCTCCCGTCAGCTCCTCTACTGAACGAACCCAGGGAGCTCAGCCGCTCGTCACACTTACTGCCCTCCTCTGGGCTCTCGCTAACAGGAGAGAAACCCGTTGCAGGCAGGGAACAGCCTAGCACAATGAAGCACTCCTTGCGGGCCGCTCTCTCCCCACGCTCGCCCTCAGGAACCCTCTGCAAAGCCCCGAGACCGCGCATCTCTCGCTCCGCAGCGCAGAGGCTCTCTCACTCTTTCACTCACCGACGCCGCTCAGCCACCAGCGAGCGCCGCCATCTTGTTGTACGGCAGCAGGCCAGACAGAGCGCGACAGGCTGAGTGGGCGGAAGCGGCGACGCCCCCAACTCCCACATCCCTTGGCTGCCGTCTCTCCGCTGTGACGTTGCACTCTTGCGGCGCCGCGCGTGACGTAACGGGCGGGCGGATTTGAAATCAGGAGGAAGGGTTCGGCGCCGCTCACGGCAACGGACGGCTGTGGTTCCCCTAGGACGGTGAGGCGGCTGCAGGCGCAGCTGATAAGCAGGCTCGCAGGTAGTGGTAGAGAAAGGGATCGATGGGAGACCTGCTGGGCGCTTCGCCAGCGCGGCCTTCCTCTTCGCTGGTTGCTTTGTCTCTTCTGTCGTGTGATCGTTGGTCTGATGTACAACTTGTGTCTTTTCACCCCTTAGAAAGTCATCGCGTATTTCGCAAACACAAATATTCTCAGAGCCTGGATTTCCTAATACCGGCAGACTCCGATTTACAGCTCGGTTGCAATGAGGCGAAGCTCAACCACTTGTGGGAGTAGCGGTCGGCAGTCTACGATGGTGCTGAGAGTGCAGGACAGCAACAAGATGGGTCTTCAGACGCCTCAAATGTAAGTGGCGATGGTCATGTCGCTAACAACGTGTGCGCAAACCTCAGCCTCGGTGGCTTTGCTGCAGCGAGTAGCATCTGAAAAAGATGGGAGCAGTAAGAAGAAAACCCTCTGCAGCCAAAGACTTCTGCACAAGTGCTCACCTTCTGTGCAAAATATAAAAAAATAATTAATTTAAAAAACCACCAAAAATCTCTAGCTTAACTTATTGGTTGAGTGAATATGAATTTAAAACTCGATAGTTCTCAAAAATACTATGTTGTTGTTGTTAGTTGGCTTGGGGTTTGTTTGTTTGCTTTTGTCTTTTTTTTTTTTTCTTTTTTAAAGACCTTTAAATGACCAATCTGCTGTCATCTATGTGTTTATGCAGTATGGTCAGCATATAATTTAAAATCTAGGCTGGTTGTGGCTCTGGGTAATCTGGTCTGGTGGTTGGCAACCCTGCACACAGCAGGGCATTGAAACTAGATGATCGTTGCCCTTTTCAACCCTATGATATGATTCTATGAAATCTAAAACTTCGCTTATGTGCCTGTGACACATCTCACATTATAATGGTTTTTTTTCTTGCATATTTGCTAGGTGGTTGGGGGGTGGCTGGGTACTTGATGTATAAAATGTACACTAATAAAACTGGCAGAAATGGCCTTACTAGTGGATAAATAATGCATTAAAATCAGCTGATGCTTCTAAGATACTGCTGTCCTGAAGCTGGTTAGACTTTAATTAATGTGTTTATACCTTTCTTATGTAAGCAAAAGATGAAATGGTAGAAATAGTCATTTGAATCCTTCTCCCTATCTCTCAGGAAGGACAGAGGAACGTTTGGAAAGCTGAGCATGAGCAAAACTACGTCTGCAACTTCAGAAAGGAAAGTCAGCTTTTTTGGGAAGAGGTATTGATAGCTTCAGATCAATGTGCTGTAAATTAAAACAATCTCATAGCATTTTACAGTTTTACTTTCTTGCTACATTTTCATTATGGGGAAAAATGGATCTGAGGCCCTTAGCATTCAGGTCTGCCTTCCTACACTCTGGTCACTAAATAACAATGCTGTGGAGCAGGATCTGCTTAAATAGTTGTTCTTCCTCTTGGGAATGCAAGAGGAGAAACATGCACTGCAACGCTTAAGAGCTGCCCAAGACATTGGCCTGTTTAAGGAAGAATGTCCCCCTCAGTACAGACCTGGGAGATGTTTGCATTAGCAGACATTGATAAAGCTTTCTAACAGTGCTAGTCTGACTTCCTACCTCTATTTTGTCTTTTCAATTCAGAAGAAAAAAAATGAGAAAAAAACAAAAAATGCTAGCTTAAGCTTAAATCAGGTAGTAATCTTGTGAAATTGGAATCAAATCAGCATTACTCTCTGCCTTAGTTTCTTTTTCCCTGTGCAATGAAAACCTTACAAAATCATACCATCTTAGTTGACAGTTTTCTGTTTTAATGTCTGCAGGTAGCTTCTTTCATTTCATTCAGAGTTCTGCTTTTCTTCTAAATGTTCCTTGAGTATTTTAATCCTCAGTTTCAACAACTTGCATTGTTTGTTTCTTCACCTTTGGCTTATCTTTTTTTTTTTTTCTGCTCTGTGAAACTTTATTTCAATAAACTGAAGAAAATATTCACCTGTGATCCCTCTGTTTTATGTGGGCATCATGACTTCTATGGCTGGATGTTGTTCTTTAATCTTTCTACTTAGAGGATTGCCTTCAGTTTAGCACTTTGCATGACATATGCAAAAAATATATAAAACCAGCAAATGTAAGGATCTGTATAACCAAGAACTCTGTATTTGTGTATTGACACAAAAAATGTATTTATTTCTTGTTCCTAGAACTAGTGGGGCTGGAGGTTCACGCAACAGTCAGTATGGTATGTTTGGTACAGAAAAGATCAAGGATCCCAGGCCACTTCATGACAAGGCATTCATCCAGCAGTGTATCAAACAGCTTTGTGAGGTAACTCATTAACTTATTTTACAAAATTGTTTATTAGGCATTAAAAGCACTACTCAAAATATTTGGTTTTCTGATGGTTTCAACTATAGATTTTGTTGACTAGCATGCCATTTAATATGTATATTTTTCTTCCCCAGTTTCTTGTTGAGAATGGTTACGCCCATAATGTCACCGTAAAATCACTACAGTCTCCATCTGTAAAAGACTTTGTAAAAATCTTCACTTTTATCTATGGATTTCTCTGCCCTTCTTATGAACTGCCTGACTCAAAATTTGAAGAGGAAATTCCCCGAGTTTTCAAAGAGCTTGGGTAAGATCCTTATTTATATATTGTGCTGAACAGCTGCAGTAAGGCCAGAAATGACAAATCTAAGGATTCTGTATGAAAACCAGGGAGAATGGGCTGACTTCTTTATTCAGATTTGACTGAAAAAAACCATGCTTTTTTGTAAGAGGCCTTAATTGTTCCTAATCTCTGCATATGCAAAAAAAAAAAAAAAGCCAGTTTCGTGAATTACATAATGGGAAACCCATGATAATGTAATAAAGTCCTGTGGTATGAGAACTCTCCTTTTCTTCTCTCAACATACAGTGTAAAGCACAATTGAATTTGTTCTTCCTTGTGTAGCTTGATCTTAATGTAAAAACTTGCTCCTTCTGCACAGCATTTAAAAATGTTTTCTCTTGTAGGTACCCTTTTCCTTTGTCAAAAAGCTCCATGTACACAGTGGGAGCACCACACACCTGGCCTCAGATTGTGGCAGCTTTGATTTGGTTAACTGACTGTTTCAAGGTAGCATCTGAGTTCTTTAAACCAAATATTTCCACATTTCAAACTGGAATTTTAATTGCAGGTGTCTTAATAGTGTTTTTACAGTTTCCTTTATTTTACATGTGAAGGAAAAGGTAGGTATTCTTACTTGCCTCTTGGGGGCTAGCTCATACTTTTAGTGAATTTAAATTGATTTTTTTAATGTTATATTATGGCTTTTTTTTTTTTTTTTTTTTTTTTTTTTTTTTTTTTTTACTGGATAAATTTCTGTAAGAGGAAAAAAGCTGAGTGGTGCTGTTGACACACTAGAAGGATGGGATGCCATTCAGGGGGACCTGGAGAGGCTTGAGATGGGCCCATGCCAGTCTCGTGAAGTTCAACAAGGCCAAGTGCAAGATCTTGCACCTGGGTTGGGGCAATCCCAAGCACAGATGCAGGTTGAGTAGAAAATGGCTTGAGATCAGCCCTGAGGAGAAGAATTTGGAGTTATTGGTTGATGAAAGATTCAAAACAAGTTGGCAACGTGCGATTTCAGCCCAGAAGGCCAACCATATCCTGTGCTGAGAATCTTGACCAGCAGGATGAATGGAGGTCTTCATGCTTGTTCTATGTATGTACACTTGTGCCTTTCAGTTGTATGCTGCCATGAGGGAAAATCCATCTTCATTTGACGATGGGCAGAACTGGGGAGGCGAAACTGATGATGGAATTGTACATAACAAGGTACTATGAAAAAGTGAATATTGTCAGAACTGTTCAATTGAATTTTGCCATATGCTGTAAGAAAACAGTATGATCTAAATATGGTAGAATAAATTGAATTGGACTATGGTTGTATATTCTGTTCAGTTTCATAGTTTCAGAGTTCTCTAGGAAACATAGCATTATATAAAAAGCTTTATCAACTAGTTTCCTGACAGACATCCTGACCAGTTGAGGCTGGGCGTTAAACTCAAGTGCTGCCTTCTCCTAGTTGCTATTATTATGTTCTCCTTTGCGGAGAAAGGACTCTTTGTGCTGTTTGTTTATAGTCTTAGCAAAACCTCAGGTTATCTCCATTTAGTACTTGAGTCTCATACAGTTAACAGCAGTACAGTGTAAAGGTTGTAAAATAAATTATAAATATGACTCCCATTCATATTTATTCTGTTTAAAATTGGTGTTAATATTTAAATTTTTAAGATGCATCTCAAGCACCTTGCTTGCTTTCTGTTTTATTATCTATTACTAGTATTATTTGAGTTTTATTTATGTTTTGGAAGGGATATTCTGCCAGTACACTTCAGGTTGGTTTGTTTGTTTCTTACTTAAGAAGGAGAAAAAAAAAAATAAAACTTGAAAGAATATCTGCAGCAAATTATTTTTGAGTAACCTTCATCTAATTGTGGAAGTAATTCTCTAAAATATCTGGAGTATAAAGTTCATGTTTACTTAAAAAGCACGTTAAACAGAGCTGCTGTTTATATTATGTAGCTTCAGAGTATCATATGTTTCAAGGCAATTATTAAATATTCTATCTACTATCTTTTATCAGTATCCCAGAAAAATGTATGCAGTGTCTGTAGAAGTTTGTTAATTATGTGAATTCTAGATACCTTCTTCTGCCCTGATAATATCTTCTGACTTTGTTTAATGAAATAAAAAAGTTTACTCCTACAAAAAGAAGTACAGCCAAACCAGAGATATGTATTGTATCAGTTGTTTAATTCCATTAGTTGAGTATATTTAGATGAGCTGTTTACAACTCTTTGAGCCTTCATGGAATCTATTGAAATTGTTCTCAGCTTTTCATGGACTACATTGTAAAGTGCTACGAGCACTTCATGAAAGGGGGAGATACTTACGAAGAATTGGATGCAGAAGTGCAGTCAAAATTAAGTAAGTTTTTGTGTTTTAATGAAGTATTTGGTTTTGTTATTAGGCTATTTTCTCCTAGTATTAGGTTTCCTCAATTTTCAAGCAAAAGTGATCTAAGATAAAGAAATGTGGAATTCTCAAGCACCTCAACTGTACTGGCTTAATTCTTTTTTCATGCACTGTTAACAATACAGACAGATGGGTCATGTTCTGCTGTCAGATGTACATGTGAAACTGTTGTTTTCAATGGTTTTGTAACAGAAAAGCAGCTCCTCAGGTGCAAATTCCATCTACACGAATACCCTTGTTTCTGACAAAGTATTTGTAAAAAGTAAATAAATAGACAACAGACAGCTCATCTGAAGAGTAAGAAAGTTCAGCTGCTGTTCAGGTTGGATATTAGGAAAACACTTGTCTCAGAAAGAGCAGTGAGGCCGTGGCACAGGCTGCCCAGGGAGAGGTGGTGGAATTGCCATCCCTGGAGGTGTTCAAGAAACAGAGAGATGTGACACTGAGGGACATGGTCAGTGGGCATGATGGTGATGGGCTGACAATTGGACTAGATGACTTCAGTGTCTTTCTTCCACCTTTTATAATTCTAAGAAAAGTTCTGAAAGCAGTAGAAGTTCCAAACTCTGTTGTGAGGATTTCCATACATGCTTCAGCATGCACCTGTTTAGCTTCAGTGAGCTGGAAAACTTTTAATGTTTCATCACTTAAGGAAACATAAGCAGCATATGAGAACAAGCAGGGAAAAAAAATTCCCGCTTTCAAAGCTCTTCTATGAAAACAGACTAAGAGCACACTCATTGCCAGCAGGATCCATCAACTGGAAAAGAAACATATATTATGAGATGGCTACCAGATATTTGTAGGAAAAAAATGATTTATACCATTGTTTGGAAAAGACTGAGGGGAAGTAAGCAAAATTTCAACATGCAAGAAAGCTCATGATGAGGAAAGGAGTATTCAAATAAGACAACTTATGAAGCTTAAACAGAGGAAACTTGTCTAACAACTATCCTGTTGTGTGGGTCTTACGAGACTCTGGAATCTAACATTACGGGAATTATTTTTCTTATGTGACAGCAGAACTGTTTGTTTTGTCCTGTTTTTTGCCTATTTATTTTGTAATGATAGCTTTCAGGTAGGTTTGTTTTTGTTTTCAGATTAAAACAATCGGTTTGGTAACAGGTATTCACTATGCTAATGGTAAGGCAATTACTCAGATTTTCTGAATAGGTGGTGACAAACAGTGGAGATTGATTTATAACCTCATTCTTTTTTCTTTCCCGCGCTAGAGGATATATTTAATGTAGATGAGTTCAAAATAGAAGGCTTGGCAGCAGAAAACAAAAGACTTCATGAAGAAATTGCAAGACTAGAAAAAGAAAGGGAAAGTGAGCCGGTTAGTAAAGTCTGTCTGTCCTTGTGTGTATGAGGGGTTTGAATTTTCAGTTGTTGAATTTTCATCTCTTTAATGATTTTACAGTATTCTAATTAGACTTTGTTATTACAGACCATGCTGTTGTAGTAGAATGCTTTTACTATGGAGTCACTATTTGTTTAATATTGAGCAGATGTTTTTCAGCTAAGATCTTGCACTGACTGAAATATTAATAATATACTTCAGACAGTTTATCTGAACTTCAGTGCTATCTTTTCCAAAGATGTACAGAATTCAGTGGTAGCAAACAGTAAAAATATATTTCCGGAGAAGCATTTTGTTTCAGAAAGTGGCTTCTGTTTTTAATACAGCATAGAACAAAAGTAGTACTGTAGGTGTACAGCTAGCAAACTGAAAGTTCTGTCTACTGTGCAAAATTTGTGTGTTGTATTCCTACTTTCCTCACCCTTTTGTCTCGTCTGCCTTTTGTATACATGTATAATGTATACTTAAGCAGCAAATTACCTGCAGTAAGAACATTTTATGCAGTGCTTAACGCAAATCAAAAGTTTGAAATACTGAAATACAACAACTAAGTTACGAACCATCTTTTCAGCCTCTTTTGCTATTCTGAAGTCTAACTTGTGTCAGCTGTTACAGAGAATTATGAACTTTTTTTCAATATTTATACTATTGATACTGACTGTAATCTACCATTTTGTCTGGAAAGGAGGATGATTATTTTAGATTAACACTGCAGTGAATGTTCTTTGCATTCATTTACTAGGATCGTTTAGTATCGCTACGAAAGCTGAGATCTTCTTTTCAAGCAGATGTTCAGAAATACCAGGCTTATTTGGCTAATCTGGAATCTCACACAACCATCCTTGATCAGAAAATGAAAGGGGTTAATGAAGAAGTTGAAGCAGCAGGTGAGGTGGCCTTGGTCACAAATATTTTGTGAAGGCAGAAATAGATTTTAAAAATAGTTTTTAATTCTTAGCTTCAGGGATGACTTTGTGTATAATGGTGCTACAAATAAACTCCAAGATTAATTGCTAATGAGGAAATTTTTTTGCAGATAACTGCTTATATTCTAGAGAAAGGAAATTTACTCATTAAAAAAAAATACTGGGAGGTGAGCCTTAACTGTACAGTTTGATATTTTTACAAATGTTTTGTGAAAACAGAAATGGAAGTAGAAGCAATGAAGCAGGAGAATGCACGGCTCCAGCATATCTTTGATAACCAAAAGTACTCAGTTGCCGATATCGAGAGAATAAATCACGAGAGAAATGAGTTGCAGCAAACCATTAATAAGCTAACTAAGGAACTCGAAGCAGAAGAACATCAACTGTGGAATGAAGAGCTAAAATATGCTAGAAATAAAGAGGCGGTATGTGAAAACCCTACCTACCCTACCACAATGAGAGATGGCTATCAGTATTCATGATGTGTCTTTAAGCTTGGGACTTGAGTTATTACTAACTTTTTCTAAATGATTTAACAACAACATGGGTGCATCTTGATAGTGAAAAGAATGGCTAGAATATGCACCACTGTAAGCTCTGACTCCTACAGAATCGAGAGCTTCAGTAACGTTAGACTGAAAGATAGATATGTTGGGACTTTAGAGCAAAGAAGTAATGCAAAACTAGTGCTTTGAGTTAATGTCTGCATGTGTTTAGAGACAGATTGGTGCCTTACATGTAAATTATAAGAGTTTAAGAGACACTTCTATAGAATGAAGAAATGTGGCCCTGTAGGTGGTGGGATTTAAAAACTGCTGCTCTGCTAGATATTTGAAATAAACAAAAACACATTTATTTCTTTTTCATTTAGCAGAGCTGTGCTTTCTCTTGCTCTTGGTATTAAATTCCTCATACCATACAAATATAAGCACATATCAAGCAATATTTTTCTAGTTATATTTGCATATAGATGGTTCTTGTGTCAGAAAATAGAGCATTTAATAAGCTGTGTCTAGAGCTACACTCAAGTTCAAGTATGTTATTAGAACATGTGACTATGTGATACTTCCTGTGAAAACCAGTCATCAACATGATGACTAATTATTGTTTTGGCAACTTGCTTAGAAATAGTACATGTTCATTCTCCTCCACTGTCAATCCTCAAAATGCTGATGCAGGAAATAATGCAGCAGGAGAGAAAACCACAGGAGGAAACCATTTAGTCTTACCCATACACTTTAAGTAATCTTGCAGAGTAAGCTCTGAAAGAGTCAGAAAACATCCATTACTGTGGAACATACAGAACAACTCAGAAACCTATTTGAAGTACTATATGAATACTTTTCGCAAAGCTTTTCAGTTGTATCTTTTCCATGACTGTTGCCCTTTTAATCTCTGAACAGATTGAAACGCAACTGGCAGAGTATCATAAACTGGCTCGAAAGCTGAAATTAATTCCAATAAGTGCTGAGAATTCTAAAGGGCATGACTTTGAGATTCATTTTAATCCCGAGGCAGGACCAAATTGCCTAGTCAAATACAGAACTCAGATTAAGGTAAGTAAAATCAACACTGAGTGTCTATTACCACTCACAATAAAATTTCAGTGTTTTGGGGGAATGTTGGGAACTCCTCATTAAACTTCATTGAGAACTTCTGTGATTGTTATGTTTCTGGTACAGGGAGAAAATTTTATATTGATGGGTACAGCAGCCTAAGTTCAAAAGTGTAGAAGAAAAAAAAACTTTAGTTTAAGCTGACAAACTGCATTATCTAGATTTTCTTCTATGTGTATAACAGGCTCCTCTTATGGAGATTGTAAACCAAACGGAGGAAGAAATTAGGAAAGCCGTTCAGCGGAAAATGAGTTTAGAGGACACTTTGGAACAGGTATGTTTTTTGGTTAAAGAAGATAAGTACTAAGATCCTGTAATGTTATCTGCTGGACTCATCTGACCATTTTACACAGGCTATTTGTGTGTTTTTATTTGGAGGGGGATGTAGTGAGAAGATTGATTTAATTGTGTTGGAATGTAAAAGCTTTTGTGTGACTTAAGATCTCCTTCTGTTGGATGAAATAATGTATGTTCCCTGTGCTGAAGATTATGCAGTTACATATATTTGATGATAAACATTGGAAAGACTTGTTTAATAAGTTGTCTATTACAATCAGTGGATTACCACTGATAAGAAGTAATTGGGGAAATTTTTAGCAATATTGGGTTCAGGATGGATTGGAAGAATTTCATGTTGTATAGCATGCTGACATACACATTTCCATGTCAATAGCTTAGAGCACACACCAAAAAAAAAAAACCAAAATCCTACAACACATTATCAGCAAGTGCTTAATGGTCTGATTTTTATGCTGAACTTAATACAGGGATTCTCAAAAACCCTGTTGTTTTTTTTTTTTTTTTTTTCCTTATTTAGACGAAGTCAGTATGTTTTGCTTGAAATTAACCTGAAGTTTGAAGTACTAAAATATGGTTTAGGAAAGTACTAATATAAATAACTTGCATATTCAGAGCTGCATATTCAAAACCCACTGTTGTAGAATTTTCATTTCCAGTGCAAGATCTTTTACACATAGTGCAAAAACTTCTATTGCACCAGGTATGGTGTAATCCTCCCCTATTCTCCCCATAGGAAGACCAATGCACTGTCAGTCTCTGAACAGCTGCTACCTTGGAAGCTTAAAAAAAATGAAATTGTTCTTCTCCTACCTCAGTTTTTCTTACAAAGCATTACAGCATGTAGGATGGAATACGCTTTTGGCTAGTCATGGTCAGCTGTCATGGCTGCATGCCTTCCCAAACTCATGCCTACTCCCTAAAAAACAAAATGCAATACAGCCTGCTGTGATGAAAGCTAATGTCACCTTGGCCAGACCTGGATTAACAAAGTGTTTCAGGGCTGCCATACGTTGTCTGTGATGGCATGGAGTTACAGGTAGGAATTCCTTTGGAATTATATCTGAAGTCACATTTTCAGGTGAATGCAATGGTAACGGAGAAGAAAAGCAGTGTGAAAACACTGAAAGAAGAAGCAGAAAAGCTGGATGATCTTTACCATCAGAAGCTTAAGGTAGAACTTTTCTATATTTTTAATAACAGTTTATTGTTGATAACATTATCTTCAAGGCTTGTATTTACATGTAAGAACTTGTTTTGCTTGTTTGCTTGAAACTTTGCTCTCAGCTCTTGCAGAAAATGAAGTCTTCTCTTATTCAGAAATATTTGAGTGCTATCTTAAGAGTCAGTTTCCACTTAACATAATCTGGTATCATACTTTCTCAGAGCCTGTAAATAAATCATAAGCTACTACAACCAGTTATAAAAGTCGCCATGTCCATCTCCTGACTTCAGGATGTCTCAATGCATGTGTTTTAAACAGATTCTACAGTATCTGCCATGTTTATGCCCTGTATGTAACAAATACACTAACCGTCTGTAATGAACCTGTTACCACATTTAAAAATTGAGGAAAGCATTATTTAACTAATAGCATATAAAATACATTATTGATGTAAAGTTGTTTACATTTTTTTTCCTCTAGAATGTGCTTCCACTCAGCAGTTACACTGCTTAGGTGGATTGATTTAAATGAAAGCTTTCAAAAATTCGTGAAATTTACCTTTTGACCTAAGTAATTGCAAACATATTTTCTGAAGACAAGTTCATAAAATACTCAATAGCAACTAGATATTTAAAATAGAATACCGTCATTAATTTCTCCTGTAATTTTTCAAGTAATATGCATTAGACTTTATTATTGCACAGTTATTTTTTAAGGTTTCAGAAATTCACCAGAATTAAGTGTTTAATGATGGTGGAATTTGGTTTCATTCTGCTAAATATACTGTTATCAATGATATTTGCATTGGATAGATCACAGAATGGCTTAGGTTGAAAGGGACCTTAAACTCCTATCCAGTTCTGACCCCCTGAAATGAGCAGGGTTAGATCAAGCTGTCCAGGCCCTATCCAGCCTGGCCTTGAATGCTGTCAAGGGATGGGGCATCTAAAGCTTTTCTGGGCAGTCTTTTCCAGAAGCACATCACGCTACAAGTAACGAACTTCCTCCAAACACTGAACCTCAATCTCCGCTCTTGTATGTTAAAACCATTCCCCTGTTACTATTAGACTGTGTAAAAAGTCAGTTCCCCTCCTGGTTATAAGCTCTCTTCAAGTACAGGAAGGCCACAATGAAGTCTCCCTGAAGTCTTTGCTTTTGCAAGCTAAAAAAGCCAAGCTCCCTCAGCCTTTCTGTGTAAGAGAGGTGCTCCCTGTGCTTTGATCATCTTTCTGATCCTTCTCTAGTCCTACTCCAACAGCTCAGATAGATGATAGCTCTAATAGATGATTGCTTGCATTTTCTAAACACACTTCAAAATCAAAAGTGAAGTCTTTTCCTTTTTTTAGTCAAAAATTATTTTGTTGTTTCTGATGTTTCATTTATAAACTATTTAGAAAGTCTGTAAGTAATCTCTTTTTAGATTAATTTTTATAGGGAAAATAGCTTAACACGCTGACCTAGAAATATTGTAAGAGAAATAAGGGAAGATTAGGTTGACTTTGAGTAGAGGAAAGTGAAAAACAAAACAAAAAAAAAAACTTGAGAAAACTTCAAAGTTGAATTGGGGAGAGAGGAGGTAGACTTCTATTGTGGTTTCCCATTTGTTTTTCTGAAGGGAATTTGAGTTCTGTGTGTGAAGCTGCTTGTGTGGTAAATTCCTAATTCAAGTATTGGGTTGAATAACATATAGGGGAAAAAATAATACACTATTTCTTTCCTAAAATGTGATCTGTTATGTGATATTTTGTTTTCTCCCTGACATTTACAGGAAGCAGAAGAAGAGGAGCAAAAATGTGCAAATGAGCTGGAATTGTTAGAGAAGCATAAACAATTACTTGAGAGCGGTGTCAATGAGGGTCTCAGTGAAGCCACAAATGAACTGCATGATATTCAGAGACAGTAAGATCCATAATTTCTGTTTGTGTAGATTTATTTTTTTTTGGGGGGGGGGGGGGGGAGATCATTGGATATACTTAGTTTAGCAAGACTGTTTGTCTACTATATCAGCACTTCTGTTCTTTCATGTAATTTTTGTTTTTATGTCCATATGATGGAGCCAGGCTTTTTTCAGTGGTGCCCAGTGCCAGGACAAGAGGCAGTGGGCACAAACTCTAGCAGAGGAGGTTGTTGTGATGTTTTTCTTTTTCTCCAATGCACCAGGAAGCATTTCTTTGCTGTCTACATGATGGAGCACTGGAACACACTGTGCAGAGAAGTTGTGCTCAATGAAGTAGCTGTAACTTGAGTTGGCACGGCACTACGCTGCACCCTCCCTGTGTCCTGGTTTCAGCACAGACCGTGCCGCACCAATGTTTGGTTGTTGCTGAGCAATGGGAGTATGCCTGGGGCCAGACCAGGCTGCTTGGCAGGGCAGAACCTCCACTGTGATGACACAGGGCAGAGGTGGCTGCATTATGAGATCTGCCAGGCCACGTGTGGGCTGCAGGTTGGACGTGTCTGTTCTAAGGTCCAGGCAAGTTAGTGCAATATGGTCCTTTTTTCTTCTAGGTTAGATGTATTAAAAAATATGTTAAATAAATCTAGCTTGGTTTACATTAATACTAATAGGAAAAATGATGGCTAAAGATAACAATATGTGTGACTTGATAAAGAAATTATTGTAGATGTCAGGAAGTTTAGAATTTCAGAATTTAGAATTGAAGTTTAGACTTTCAGAATGTCTTTATTTTTCAGATATCAAATTGTTATGCAAACAACAACAGAAGAGAGCAGGAAAGCAGGTGATAACTTGAATCGTCTCTTGGAAGTGATTACTACTCATGTAGTATCTATAGAGGTAAGATGAAGTTCAATACCCAGAATTACATCTTTCTAAAGATATTTACAATTGCAGTTAAGGACATGGACGTAAGAACTTTTCCTGTCCAGTAAAGTATCTGTTAGTTAAATGTGGTCAACAGATCTATGTTCAAGTAGTAGGGCTTGTCATAGGTGGTGTGCCACAGGGGTCAGTCTTGAGACCAATGCTATTGAATGTCTTTATTAATGACACAGTGATATTAATTAGAGTAGACGCCTAGCAAGCTTGTTGATCACACTAAGCTCAAAGGTGCAACTAATACAATAGTAGAAAAGGATGTGATCCAGAGGCATCTGGACAGGCTTGGGGTGTAGAACTGTGGGAAACTAATAAGATTCATCAAGGCCAAGTGAAAGATACTGCACTTGAGTCGGTACCATACCAGATGTGTGTACAGACCTGGGAGAAGAACTCATTGTGAGCAGCCCTGTGGAGAAAGGCTTCGGGGGCCCTGGTGAACAAAAAGCTGGAAATGAGTCAGCAGTGTGCTCCCTTCACTCACTCTGTGAGCAAGTACTTCATCCAGGCCTGGGGCCCTAGCACAATAAAGATGTGGAGCTGTTGGAGCAGGTCTAGAGGAGGGCTACAAAGATTATCAGGCTGCTTTGTGTTTATGGGGTAAGATGACTGAATTATAGTCATGCAACTTAGAACTGGTTCTATTGACCAGGTGTCTGAGCGCTCAGTTTGAGACAGCATGGTAGTGGTTAACTGTCTCTGGTAAAACCTTGATTGTTATTAGTCCCAAGGAAAGGTCTTCTGCACCTCATGGTATGACCTTGGGCATAAAAGCCAGGCTGGGTAGGAGGCAGAGACTGCACCATCACACCCATCCCTGGAAGCATTCAAGGGCAGACTGGATGGTGCCCTGGGCAACCCAATCCAGTGGGAAGCAACCCTGCTCAAGGCAGTGATTGTGATCTTAAAGGTTCTTTCCAAACTCAGGTGTTCCATGATTATGGCTGCTGTACTGAGTTTGTTGGTTTCTGGTATGTTTGCTGACAAAACATTTGGTATAAATAATCAGATGATTAAATGTTACTAGTAAATTCCTTCATCTGCTGTTTACATTCCAGTAAGTGTTTAATAGAAATTATATAACTCATACAATCGCTGCTATGAATGCTTTAGCAGAAACAGTACAATATGGAGCACAGCTCTAATAAGGCTTTTGTAACTCTTCTAGAAATATCTTGATGAACAGAATTCAAAAATTGACAGAGATTACGAAGAATTCATGTCTGAAGATCTACTCTCAACCTTGACCGGAATTCTAGACAGTTATAAAAAGAAGGCTGAAAGTATATAATTATCAAAAAGCTGAAGATGAAAATTCTGTGCTTATGAAGCTCCAGTGTGGTATCTCCTAAAAGGATGGTTAATTCCTGCTTTTAGCAGCTAACTTGGTTTTAATGATATGATATTGAACTTCCTTTGCTTTACTGACACACTTATAGAAAAGGATTAAAATTCTTGTAACTGAAAAAACAAAAGCTTTGCTTACTCTTCCTACTGCCAAAGTATTTCTACAGAATTACATCGTCTGTGACAAGGCAATTGTGGAACAACTGAATTTCTCTTTTTCTTTGTAAATAGGCACCTGTGCTCTCCAGGAACATTCAGAAAGATGAGTATTGTCAGCCTTTAGTTAACAGTGGACTTAGAGATGTCACAACTGTCAATACAGTTTGTGCATTCTTTAATATTTATATGTACTTAACACGAGTCATGACAGTGTGTGTCCTTCCATAGGCCTTCAGTTTATCAGCAAGACCAAATGTAAATGTCTTCCAGTCTCCTGCCTGTTATCTATGAAACTGCCCAGAGACCCCTCTGGTGTGTAAGATTTTTGTTATTTTTGTTTTAGCAAAGTCTCTTTAGAAAGATCAGTAGTAGTTATGCAGTAATCCTGTAAATTTAGAAAATGAAAGATAGTTTGAAAGCAAAGTTCTGCGTCTAAATGCTTACAGTACCAGATGAAAACTTCCTGTACTTCTTAAGTACGTTTTTGAAATGAGCTTTAAGTATGACAATGTGATTTCTGACAATACAGCTAATTAGTTGAAGGTATAACTAGTCTTGTGTGCATTGAAATGGTCTAAAACATCTGTGTTCTACTAGATCAGTAAAGCAGACCATACTGGATTTTTCTTCCTTAGGAAGATAAAGTTGGCATATGGGGAGTTCCAGTCCAAATACATTAAAGAAAATGAATATCTCTTGAACATGTATTTGTCTTTCTTGTTCAATGCCACATTGTAAGCAGAGGCAGTATCTGCTTGTCTACTCTGTTATATACCTTTTGTATTCCTTCAAAAGTAGCCCTGGGTAGTTTAATTTTGAATACTGGTCAGTGATAAATGTCACATTTAAGTACACAACAGAGGAACTCCACTGTCTTCAAAAATGTTTAGTGGCTGATAGCTAATTAAAATAGCTCCTCAATTTGCTAATTAAAGTATTTGAATGCAACACAGATCCTTTGGGTACAAATTAGAATTTAAACTTAAATTCTCTGAACACAAACTGCAAATAAAACTAAATTGTGTTTAATTTTTGGCTGTTTTTACAGAGCATACATAAAAATTCTGTTGTCCTTGATGAAGTACGTGAATTTTCTGGCTCTGTTCTGAGTTTTGTTTTGTTTTCAGATACAATAACAATGGTGGTATTTAAATTTCTTTTTGCTCCTTTGTTATACACTGAAAGCTTACTTTCACAACTATAAAAGCTTGCTGACAAGAAGGTAGCATTTCTTCTTTCTTCTTTTGTTCTCTCACCTTTACAAACTCTTACTTTTTTTCTTACAGCCTTATTCCTTTCCAATCTCAATTACTTCTTATGAGCTTTTTTTTTTTTTTTTTTTTTTTTTGTGATCTTTCTAATGTATTTATTATGTAAAGCAATGCTCTCCTAATTAAGCAAAGCTATGGGAAATCCAAAACAATCACGTTCCTTTAAAATAATTGCTTATTTAAAGACTACAGTCTTCCTTGGCTTCCTGATACTTGTTTGTCCCTACTTCTGTAACTGTTCCCGTGTCTATTAGTATCTGCAGCCTCACTGCATGTGGAGTAGTCAGTTGACTTAGTAAACACAATTTCAAAGGACTAATGCTAACCCAGTAGTAATGGGTTAAACAATCAAGGTCAGAACGACCTTCCTTTGTATTCTGGATTGTGGCTTTTATATAGAATATAATTACTGCTTGGATTGGTTTTTGGTTTTTTGTTTTCTTTTGGGTTTTTTTTTTTTTTTTTTTTAGTTTGGTTGGATTTTTTTCAACCAGAATGTAAAGTCTTAATCAAAATGTACCACTGCCACATGCATATTTCAGTAGTATGAGTAGTTTGTAATTCTGGGGGATATTGGTAGGGGTACAGTTCTCTCATCTATTACTAATGTATCTTTTGTATAGCTTGCTTAATATGTCTCAAGGCTATGTATTTTTAAACTCAATAAAATTACTTAAACATGTATCTTTGAATCATGGAGTCTTCATGGGCAGAAACTCATCATGAAAAACAATAGATTTGTATCTCCTAGAGAAACTAGGTAGGTTCATGATTCTCTATCAGCAGCTCAATTTCGTGTTAATCTTCTACTGTGGGGGGGAAAAAAAAGCAAACAAAAAAACATTTCTTGCAAATTGCAAAAGAAAAGGAATATAAATTCGTCTCAGCTTTTTAGAAATAGGCTTTCTTAAAGCTTTAAGGAACAGAGTTATTACTTACTTTGATAACTTCTTTACACACCTAGGCAACCCTGTGGTATCACTTTTCCCAAACAGCCTTCTGTTACCTCAGACATTAAAGGACAATCTGACCTTTCACTTTTCCTTCTTTTTAGCCTAGTTACTGGAAAATAATGTGATACTGGAGACGTATGACAGTGCTTGGCCCATAACTTTGTTCTCTTCCCTGAACTGTTGTTTTTTCAGATTTTTCATAAAAGAACTCACATCACTACTGAGAATTGGGTAGTTCTTCAAGGTGGTTCTTAAATGCATTGTAAGAGCCTGATGAGGTATAAGAACTTTGCATCACCTGTTCAGCTCATGTATGAGACTACTCAGGCCCTTGTTACTGTCTGCCCAAATGTGCAGCACTGAGCCCCAAAAAAATCTCTTTCCAAGCAGGATGTTGTCCTGTGCTGGTTTTCTAATTCTTGTACTACTCTGTGTACTTGGGTCCTTAATGGCAATTCTCATCCCTGCTATGCTTTAGACAGTAGAACTCAAAAAAAATCGGTTTTTATCTTGTGTTTTTTTTTTTTTTTTTTAAATTATTAGTTTTGATAACGAAAAGCAGAAAGAGCGAACAGCAGAAATTATTCCTTCTCCAATAATAAACCAAACTCCCTGCAGCTCTGTACTTCTACTCTGTAGCAAAAAGTATTCTTAACATTAAGTGGCTGCAGAGGCAGAGAGATTTTTGTGGACAGTGACTGTTACTTAGGTTTACTCCAGGGTGACACAAAAGTGTCAGACTAAATACTGTATTTTTCTACTCTGCTCTGGGGAGTGTGCACTTATTTTAATCCTGGAAACCTCAGTATCTCCTTTTGAGCCACTTAATCTTGCTCATTCAGCAGTGGTATAGAACAGGGAATCAACTTTTTTCCCAATGCTTGCTCTCTCTAGATTTTTAACTGTGAAAGGGTGTCTGCTTTATGAAAACATGCATTCCACAGGTCTCCAACCATGTAGGAGTATTAGGTCTTCCTTGGAGTTTTATGTATTCTATGCTTGTTTCAAGTTTTTTATGGCATCCGTTCCTTTCTAAGCAGTGGCATGACTGAAAAAACTTACACAGTCCTTAGTATCCTCACTGGATAATAGACCTGATGCCCCAAAGGGAAATGTACCAACATCACAAATACTATCTTATGAGGCTGGCAGGGACTGTGCCATCAGCCTGAGAAAGGTCTTGAATAATTGTGCAGGTTTATTCTTTAGAACTCAATCTGCTGGTTTGTGAAATTTTTCTGGAAGGCATCCATTTGCATTAACATGAGCTGACAGAGTAGAATCTACATAACATTTTTCAGCCTGTTATTGAGATTTACAGATTAAAAATTTACCAGAGGAATAAAAGGCACTTGTTAAGGCACTATCACAGGTCAGGCACCAGCAACAACTGCAATTAGAGAAATCACACGAGGTTATTGGTTTTTTTAATTCTGCAGTTAACGTCAGGGCAATACTGTTATGTATATATATTATATGCTATGTTATGTTATGTTATAACATATATTATATGTTATGTTATATATATATAATATATGTATATTATAACATCTGATGCCTAGAAAAACCTGAATAGCCTGATTATAAAATGTTAACAGAACCACAACTTACAAAGTCTGTAAAAATGATAGGACAAGTTCCAGTCTCAGCTACATGGTAATTGTTCTAAGACATTCTTAAATTTGCCTGCTTTAGAAAAGAAAGAATATTCCCTCACAGGCAGTATTCTTTGTCTGATTTATTGGAATTTGAAGGCTAATCTTGCTCTACTGACCCTAAACAACATAATTCTGCATAATCAGTGATAACTGAGAATCTATCTCTGTACTATACTTCCTACCTGTTCAAAAACTCATTTCTTGGGTAAGTAGCTTAGATGTTTATTGTTTCACTCTGGGATTTGCAGAGCGGGTTGCTTTGTTAAATATAGAAAAAAGTTAAAATCTTTTTCCTAGTTGTTTCTTTATATATCTGGGAAAGTTGACTGCCTTGGCATAAACATAACACATTTTACAAACAGTAACATCGTTGCTCCACTACAAGCTCACAGGCTTTAGAATCACAGAATCACAGAATCACAGAATTGTAGGGGTTGGAAGGGACCTCCAGAGATCATCGAGTCCAACCCCCGACCTAAGACTTCCTGTGTCACTGGTCTGACCTTAGAGTACTACAGAAACTACAGCAAACGTTATGTCAGTTGAGCTCTGTTCCCTTCTAGAGACTGGGCACTTTGGGAATCCCTGTTACCAAGTACCTACCTGTCCCAGTGTTCCTCTGATGTGGATGCCCACTTGCAGAATGTTTGTGTCTGTCCCTCTATTCTAAAAGTCCTCATCAGGATCTTTGTGGTAACGTGTTTTTGTGCTGCGGTCTACATGGTGTTTTCCCTAATTCACGCATGAGGTCACAACTTCAAGTGGCAGTGTGTATTTGATCAGCATTTTAGTCTAAGAAACCCTTTGAGTTAAGCTAAGATTTAAAAACACATTAAACTGACTATTATCCAATTTTCACCTGTTAAAAAAGGCATCAGTTTAGCAAGACTCCAAAGCAGAAAAGACAGATGTATAAACATTTTGAAATGAGCAAGATGATGTCCTCAATTTTGTTTTACTTCTCATACCAAGATTCACAATAATTATGGGTAGAAGTTGCACATTTTGAGACAGCCATCAAAAAGTTTTTTAAGAAGAAAAACACCAATTTGAAAGAGTAAATTGTAAGAAGAATAAACAAGGAATCAGAGAATGGCAATTCAGCATCACTGAAGACCTGTTCCAGCACAGACCAACTTTTCCCACCTGACTGACTACTCAGAAGATATTCCATAGGTATTTTATCATACGTACTGAACATACAAGAGCTTAGCCTACATGCTCTTTAAATGCTACTTATCTTTTGCTTGTGCTACAGAATAGCACATACAGTCCCGGGCTGGGTCACATACAGTCACACATACAGTCATACATACAGGTTCTCTGCCTGGCAAGAAAAGCTCCAAATAGCAAGAGAGGGGCAATGGTTTCTGCGTCCTAATCTCAAAATCCAGAACATCAAGGAATGTAAAGCAGGAAAATCTGAATGATTAGATAGTCATTCACCAGCTTGGACTCCATGCTGACCTTCCTACTGGAGCTGGTGATGAAGGCACTCCTCAACAGGTCAGGAGAAAGCAGTGCTTAGTTCAGAAGAAAAGGGAAGAGTGAGAAAACAATGCCAAAAGCTAGGACTATAGGAGGAGTCAAAAGGGGAAGCAGTCTTCAGGAAGAAAAGCCAACGGCAGCCACCTTCAGCTACAGAAAAGAAAAAGCTACTCAACAGACCAGCAGCTGCATCAAATTGAAGTGAAAAGCAAGATGTCCCACACCTTCTCTGTGGCAATGTATTTATGAAATTTTGCTGTTTGTTACACATCTTGTCAGAGAAAATGACAGATTTGATCCGAGACTTTTTGATCTATAACAGTGTGGCTGATAGGACTACTTCAGATGTGGTCTTAAAAAAAAAAAAATCATGGGAAATCATTAAGATATTAATGCTTGAAGATATTAATCTTCCTTATACTTCAACAATCTTTCCACAAACTAAAACCCATCTTTTCTCCCTGTGAGTATGTCTGACAGAGTAAGAAAGCTTTTAAGATTCAGTCCACCCAGTCCCTTTTCAT